AAGTAACACTCACGTAAGTTTAAGTCCAGACGTTATCGCATAGAGCAACATACACATTACAGTAACAAAATGTTGAACGCTGCTGAAGAAGCCGACGACTCAGAGCAACAAGGAGTAAGATCCAGCAATCGTGAAAGGCATTTAACTGAAAAGGGTAAAGAAATGCAGGAATATGAGGCAAAGAAAAATGAGAAGGCATTTAACAAAGCTTATGACACTTGGAAGAAGGCAGCTAAAGAAATCAGAACAAAGCTGAAAACTTTCTGCTCACCTGAAGAGCTAAACAATGCCAGTCATGACATAAGAGACAAGCACGCTGTAGTACAACAGCATTATGAACCCATTCGCCGCAGCCAATCCATGACGCCCGACATTGTTAAGCGAATGGATGTTTGTGCAGTGCTTACAACTGACATTTGTGAAGTTGTTGCTAAACGACAGGAAAATATCGATCAGCTCTTTAACGATCGCCTTGAAAAGGAAAGAGTACGAGTGATGTTAAACAAAAGGGACTATAGTTCTGTGTTTGGTGATACAAAAACTGAAACGTCGTTCCCAGAGGGTTCAGTTGCACGCTCAAAGGCAGATTCTACTGGCAGTCGTGAGGTGGAAGCAGAAGCTGAACTTGCAGCCAAAGTGGAACAAGCAAAGGCCACACAAGAAATATTGGCACAGGAAACCAAGATCAGCCAAATGGAAAATGAGTGGAAAATAAAGGAAGTGGAAACAAAGGCAAAGTTGGAGGAGGAAAAGACTAAACTTCAACAGTTAAAGGCAGACAGCGAAGTGAAAGTAGCAGCTGCACGAGTAAGAGCCCTTAGCGCTCAAAATGACATTGAAAGCCATGATCAAGTGTCCTGCTACAACTTAGAAAATTCCGCAAATCTCCCCAACAGTGCACCACGGCTCTCTTTAAATCCACAAGCACCAACATTTAGACCTCACAATACTACTCCAGAACGTGAAGAACTTAGCTTAGTTCAAGCCCTCGCCAGCTCTCTTACCCTAAACAGGCTTCCTGTACCTGAGCCCACCATCTTTAGTGGCGACCCCCTAAAGTTTATGGATTGGAAGGTATCCTTTATGGCACTAATTGGTGACAAACCTTTACCTGTGTGTGAGAAAATGTTGTATCTAAAGAGCTATCTTGCAGGTGAAGCACGAAAGGCAGTAGAGGGATATTTCTTCCGCAACAGTGAGCAGGCATACGCAGGCATTTGGAGCGTTTTAGAGGAAAGGTATGGCAGCCCATTTGTTATCCAAAGAGCCTTTAGGGCTAAACTCACAAAATGGCCTAAAATAGCTGCCAATGATCCTAAAGCACTGAGGGAGTTTGCAGATTTTCTCCAAAGCTGTGCAGAGGCTATCCCTCAAGTCAAAGGCCTAGAGATCCTTAATGATTGTGAGGAAAATCACAAGCTTCTAAGAAAACTGCCTGAGTGGATAGTGCAGAGATGGAGCCGCATTGTGGTGGAGGAGCTAGACAAAAGCCAAGACTACCCCAACTTCGCTCGCTTTACAAAGTTCATACAAAATGAAGCTAAAGTAGTTTGCAATCCTGTTGCCTCACCATTCCTAATAAACGAAAGGGCATCAGAAGAGCAGCATGTTAAAAGAGCGAAGGCACTCAGTACTACCATCCAACCAAAGTCTCCACCAATCCCAGTATCTACTTCTAGACCTAAACCCACATGTTTGTTTTGCAAAGAAGAATCGCACGGCATAGCTAAGTGTCCTGCTTTTGCAGCGAAAACTAGTGATGACAAGAAAGTTTTCATTCAAGAAAATCGTCTCTGCTTTGGGTGTTTGAGGAGGGGTCATGTAACCAAAGAATGCAGAGGACGTCACTCCTGTAGTAAGTGTGGTCGGCGTCACCCCACCTGTCTACACACAGAAAGAGTGAATGAACCTAAAGAAAGGAAAACTGAGGATTCTAAATCCCCAGATGAAGGTGCAAACAAGGAAGTGCATAATGTTATGACTCATGTACTAACAAGGAAACTATCTTCCACATCCAGCATAGTACCAGTATTTGTGTCAGTTGCATCTGAGCCTGAGAAAGAAATACTTACATATGCCCTGCTTGACACCCAGAGTGACTCATCCTTTATTTTAGAGGATTTGGCCTCAGAACTAAATGTAGACGCCCAACCAGTGCAGTTAAAGCTTAGCACCATGACTTCCGTCGACACAGTCGTTGCAAGTAAACTTGCCAACAACTTACAGGTGCGTTGGTTTGATTCTGAGACTCGTGTCCGAATAGAACACGTCTACTCTCGTGACTTTATCCCAGTTGACAAGTCTCATATCCCTACCAAGGAAACTGCACTTCAGTGGCCACACCTTGAAGGCTTAGCTAACAAGTTACAGCCATTACAGAACTGTGAAGTAGGTCTATTGATTGGTTATGACTGCCCATCAGCACTAGCCCCCCTAGAGATCGTCACAGGCAAAATAAACGAACCTTTCGCACAAAGAACCCTACTAGGATGGAGTATTATTGGTTCTGGTAATCCTCACCTAGACAGAGAAGGTAACCAGAGTTATGTGCACAGGATCACAGTCAAAGAAATGCCCATACCATCAGCCACAGAAGTACTCAAAGTCCTAGAGACTGACTTTAATGAGAGAAACTATGAGGATAAGTATGTATCACAGGATGATGTTCGCTTCATACAAATCCTCAGTGATACAATAAAACAAAGACCAGATGGGCACTATGAGATGCCGCTCCCCTTCAAGGGCAATGATCCACCAGCGCTTCCCAACAATAAGAAGTTAGCCACAGTCCGACTGCAACACCTGAAGAAAAGGCTAAAGGCTGATAAACAGTATCATGAACATTACTGTTCCTTTATGAGAGACATTATCAGCAGTGGTGATGCAGAATTAGCACCTCCTTTGTCTGAAGGCAAGACTGCATGGTACATCCCACACCATGGGGTATATCACCCGAAAAAACCAGCCAAGCTAAGAGTCGTCTTTGACTGTTCAGCAAAATTTCTCGGTGTCTCATTAAACGACACTCTTCTCACAGGTCCAGATATGATCAACTCATTGGTGGGGGTACTCTGTCGTTTCAGAAAGGAAAATGTAGCCATAATCTGTGATATCGAGAGAATGTTCCACCAGTTCTCTGTTTGTCCAGACATGCGCAACTATCTGAAATTTCTGTGGTGGCAGGATGGACAATTAGACAAAGAACCCAGAGAATACAGAATGGCTGTACATCTATTCGGTGCCAGTTCATCCCCTGGATGTGCTAATTTCGGCCTGAAATATTTGGCACAACAGTGCAGAGCAGACTATCCTAAGGCCTCAGAGTTTGTTGAACAGAACTTTTATGTAGACGATGGTCTAACTAGTGTCCCATCAGTTAAAGAGGCACAAGAACTCATCACCGAAACACAAGCACTTTGTAGACTTGGCGGTCTACATCTGCACAAGTTCAACTCAAACCAAAGTGATGCGCTTTCCCAGCTGGAACCCTCAGACAGAGCAGACACCACAGAACCGCTCGATCTCAAACCTGACACAAAGGCTGAAGGCCATGTGCTCGGCATCCAGTGGTCAATCAAAAATGACACTTTCAGTTTCAAAATAAACACTAAGGACCAACCTCCTACTCGCCGGAGCATACTGTCAGTGATCTCATCCCTGTACGACCCACTAGGGTTCGTAGCTCCCTTCACCTTAAGAGGCAAAGGTATCCTACAGGAACTGTGTCGCAGAGGCATTGAATGGGATGACCCCCTTCCTGACAACTTACGTTCACGGTGGGAGGACTGGAAAGATGGGTTGGAAAGACTAAAATCGGTTGCAGTGCCTAGATGTTACCACCCACCAGAACTAACAGACATTGTAAAGGTGGAACTGCACCACTTTTGTGATGCTAGTGATTTAGGATATGGTGCATGCTCCTATATTAGGTACCTCAGCAACGAGAAGGTCCACTGTAGTCTTGTTATGGCTAAGGCAAGAGTCGCACCTACCAAGGTCACAAGTATCCCGCGATTAGAACTCTCAGCCGCAGTCACATCAGCTAGAATGAGCAGCATGCTAAAAGCAGAGCTTCAGATGTGCATTAACCCTTTAAGACCTACCATAGAACCAAGTCCGCCAGAACTTATATTATATTTTTACATGCTGTGGAGCCATTTTTGGGAGCATTTCAAGTTGCTATACATCAATACAACCATTATAGCCCAGATTTTAATAATATGTATTCATTAAGTGCATAGTAATTACATAAATTGCAAAAAAGTGCAATAAACTACAAAAAAATTGAAAATCGTTTTTGATTTTTTAACATATATTTGTAGTTAGAGAAATTTAAGAGTCTTATCCCTCAAAACTGTAAATACAAAAAAGTTGCACAAAATAGTTTCCTACCACAGGAAATTTATTTTGAGTGTCTTCATAGTTTTATTTTTGAAATACACCAATTTTTATACACTGCAGGAAAAACGAAAATAAATATTATACTGCAAATTTGCAAAAAAGCAGCATATGCATCAAAATAAACTATTTCCAGCAGTGCAATATGAGTCCTAAGCATCCCAGAAACGACACAGAAAGTCATAAAGTCAAAGATAACTTTTAAAAAGAGCAGTATAGGCCCTGAGGCCCTGATCGCAAAAAAGACTACATTTCCGCGAAAATGACGTCACTTCCGGTTTCGGGCAAGTAATGGCGGAAATGCAAAAGTTCGCGCTGACGTCTATTCCAACGTAGGAAGTGTTTTGAACAGCTGATCAGATCGGTAAAGCGTGTTTCTGGAATATTATGTTTTTGTTCCTGCAAGCGCTTTTTATGCAGTTTTTGCAAAGCTTTATGTGGAAGGAAACCGTGACCTAGGACAAGCTGATGGCATCAGATGTAAGTACAACTCCTCCGGTTTCATATGCAAAAAAAATTTTTGCGCTAGCTTACGTGGTTGCAGTGCTACTGGGATTTAAAAATAGTTACGCATAACAGAGCGTTCCCGCTCCGATCGGCTCTAAAGGGTTAATGAAGAGTTCTTTTGGACTGACTCCCAAGTAGTCTTAGCCTATATTAACAATGAGGCACGACGGTTCCACGTCTTCGTTGCCAACCGTGTTCAGTTAATTAGGCAAACTACGGATCCCAGACAGTGGCACTACATTGACACAGCTCAGAATCCTGCAGATTACGCCTCTAGAGGGCTCAGTGCATCAGAAATCATGTCAACATGTTGGTTGTCTGGTCCAAAGTTTCTGTGGGAACATGACATTTCATATGCACCCAGCCCTTCAGCTGTGTTGTTAGTAGGGGATCCAGAAGTCAAAGCAGTCAAAGCTCTCACAACTCAAACAAATGAACAAGACAATATCCTCAGCCGTTTGTCAAGGTTTTCAAGCTGGTCAATGCTCCTTAAAGTGGTTGCAAGGATAAAAGGATTGAGATCCAGCAAAGCCCGCCCAGTATGGAAACTTTGTAACAGTAGATGAACGGAGAACAGCTGCTGACACAATAATAAAGCTCCTTCAGCAGCAGGCCTTTTCTCAAGAGATGGAAGTGTTGAAGGTGGGAGATAACCTTCCGAGTTCAAGTCCCCTCTTTAGAGTAGATCCAGTGCTAGATCAAGGACTTCTCCGTGTTGGAGGAAGACTGAAGAAGTCAACACTCTGTCAGGGACTTAAGCACCCCATCATCCTCCCAAAAGACCATCACATTACAAAGTTGATCATTGCTCATTTTCATGCACAGATTTGTCATCAAGGTAGAAGCCAAACTCTCATGGAAATCAGATCGAATGGGTTTTGGGTGATTGGTGGGAGCAAGGAAGTTGCAAAACTAATAAGCAAATGTGTTCAATGTCGAAAACTAAGACGTTCACCAGAAGAACAATGCATGTCTGAACTTCCAAAGGAACGAGTTGAAATCTCAGATCCTTTCATGTATTGTGGAATGGACTGTTTCGGACCATTTGTCACAAAACAAGGTCGCAAAGAGCATAAAAGATACGGACTCCTCTTTACATGTCTTTCCTCACGTGCAGTCCACATTGAGATGCTTGAGGATCTTTCTACTGACTCTTTCATCAACGCTCTGAGATGTTTCATCAGCTTAAGAGGAGCTGTTTGTAAGTTGTACAGTGACCAGGGTACAAACTTTATTGGAGCCAAAAATGAGCTAAGAGAGTCTCTTAAACAATGTGACATGGATGCCTTAGAAGCATTCCTTGCCAATAAACAGTGTGAGTTCGTCTTCAATGCCCCATCTGCTAGCCATGCCGGAGGTGTGTGGGAACGACAGATTCGAACCATCCGCAATGTTCTCAATGCCACCATTGCTCAATGCCAAGGCAGGCTGGATGACAGCTCTCTAAGAACTCTATTCTATGAGGCGATGTTTATAGTTAATGGTCGACCACTGAGCGTCGATGGAATCAATGATCCTAAATCTCCTGAACCTCTAACTCCAAATCACCTCATATTGATGAAATCAAAGGTTGCACTGCCTCCACCAGGAAAGTTTGTGAAAGAGGACTTATATGCAAGGAAACGTTGGCGCAGAGTCCAGTATCTCACTGAGCAGTTTTGGAGTAGATGGAAAAGAGAGTACCTTCTGAACATATCTATGAGACAGAAATGGCACCTACCACGTCGAAATCTTAAAGTCAATGACATAGTCATTATCAAAGAAGACATGCTTCCCAGAAATCAGTGGCAACTGGCTCGAGTGGTTGAAGCACCAGAAGAAGATGACGGTTTGGTCCGCAGAGTCAAGCTTCAAGTTGGCGATCGAGGCTTAATAAAGAAGCAGAGAACAGCACACAAACCTCACGTAGTTGAGCGACCTGTTCAAAAGCTTGTAGTTCTATTAGAAAATAACTAATTGATGTTTCAATCAATACTGTCACATCAGGCGTATTTGCGAAAGTTTATTGATGATGTATTTGAAATTGTGTTCGTTCTTGTAGTAATGTCCATATGTTACAGCTGGAAATCATGTAAAGAATGTTGTTTATTATACATGATTTGGTGGGAGTGTAAAGGTCCAGTTTTGTTTATTGATCTAAGCCTGAACAGCTACGCGTAGTGTCCAGTAGAGGGCTCTGTTGTTTAGTTAGCGGCAAGCTGCACTTCCAGCTCAGACCGGTTTTGTGGCGCACATTTCCCAGTAGGCAGCTCTCAATGAAGCGTGAAGCAGCGTGATACCGGACTCTAGCGAAACGAACAATTTGCAGCCCTTGGAATGCGGAGCGAGGTACATGTTTTAAGTTGTATTTGTTTGCTTAACTGATATTTTGTTGTATTTTCTGCATTATTTGAGTTCATATTTGTAATAAGCGTCTAAGAAAATGTATTTTGTGTTTCTGTTTAGTTTTCACGGTGCATTGGCGCACCTGGCGCACTGTTAGATTCTGAATGAATCTCAAAGTAAAAATTACTGCACCCGTCGAGGCTCTCTCTATTTCTTCCTTGGTCCGGGGGACTGCTACAATCAGAAAATTAAAATTTTAGCTTGAATAAAGTGATATTGATTCATTAAATCCTGAATCAACTTTTAAATATACATGTATTTTGCCAGAAATGCCAGAATCTCAGGTTAAAACTCACAAAACTATTTCAACAACCACCAAACAGCTAAAAAAGCAAGTGAGAGCAGGTAAATGGATTCCACACAAAGATGTAAACACAATGCGCAGAGCCGATGCTTCAGAATCTGTGAGATGTCGGCTTTCTCACCCACTGGGGCTGAAAGCTGAGAGCTCACACCTTCTGAAGCTGCAGGTTTTGTCACTCTCCAAACTAAATTGACTGGCAGCAAAAGAAGATCAAAACTATGCTTCACATTTCATAAACATCGCCATTAATTCGCTCTGACTTTTGCTGTTTTGCTTCCACCACAATAAAATCACAATTCCTGCACAGCTCTCTCTCTCTTGCTCTCTCTCAGTGTACTTCAAGAACAGTTTCCCATTACACACCAGTCTACCATTGTTAACAGCACTGTCGGCCGCTGTTTGTTTTTGTTTTTTAAGTGTCTCTAATAAACCCTCTGAATGCACAGCTTCACTTCAGCAGCATCAGTAATGTTCATATACTGATTTGTGCTTTTCTTCCATTTTTGATCTACTGCATATATACAGTGGGGCAAAAAAGTATTTAGTCAGCCACCGATTGTGCAAGTTCCCCCACTTAAAATGATGACAGAGGTCAGTAATTTGCACCAGAGGTACACTTCAACTGTGAGAGACAGAATGTGAAAAAAAAATCCATGAATCCACATGGTAGGATTTGTAAAGAATTTATTCGTAAATTAGGGTGGAAAATAAGTATTTGGTCACCTCAAACAAGGAAAATCTCTGGCTCTCACAGACCTGTAACGTCGTCTGTAAGAAGCTTTTCTGTCCCCCACTCGTTACCTGTATGAATGGCACCTGTTTGAACTCATCATCTGTATAAAAGACACCTGTCCACAGCCTCAAACAGTCAGACTCCAAACTCCGCCATGGCCAAGACCAAAGAGCTTTCGAAGGACACCAGGAAAAGTATTGTAGACCTGCACCAGACTGGGAAGAGTGAATCTACAATAGGCAAGCAGCTTGGTGTGAAAAAATCAACTGTGGGAGCAATCATCAGAAAATGGAAGACATACAAGACCACTGATAATCTCCCTCGATCTGGGGCTCCACGCAAGATCTCATCCCGTGGGGTCAAAATGATCATGAGAACGGTGAGCAAAGATCCCAGAACCACACGGGGGGACCTGGTGAATGACCTGCAGAGAGCTGGGACCAAAGTAACAAAGGTCACCATCAGTGACACACTACAACGGCAGGGAATCAAATCCCGCAGTGCCAGACGTGTTCCGCTGCTGAAGCCAGTGCAGGTCCAGGCCCGTCTGAAGTTTGCCAGAGAGCACATGGATGATACAGCAGAGGATTGGGAGAATGTCATGTGGTCAGATGAAACCAAAGTAGAACTTTTTGGTATAAACTCAACTCGTCGTGTTTGGAGGACGAAGAATACTGAGTTGCATCCCAAGAACACCATACCTACTGTGAAGCATGGGGATGGAAACATCTTGCTATGGGGCTGTTTTTCTGCCAAGGGGACAGGACGACTGATCCGTGTTAAGGACAGAATGAATGGGGCCATGTATCGTGAGATTTTGAGCCAAAACCTCCTTCCATCTGTGAGAACTTTGAAGATGAAACGAGGCTGGGTCTTCCAACATGACAATGATCCAAAACACACCGCCCGGGCAACAAAGGAGTGGCTCTGTAAGAAGCATTTGAAAGTCCTGGAGTGGCCTAGCCAGTCTCCAGACCTCAACCCCATAGAAAATCTGTGGCGGGAGTTGAAAGTCCGTGTTGCTCGGCGACAGCCCCAAAACATCACTGCTCTCGAGAAGATCTGCATGGAGGAATGGGCCAAAATACCAGCTACTGTGTGTGCAAACCTGGTAAAGACCTATAGTAAACGTTTGACCTCTGTTATTGCCAACAAAGGTTATGTTACAAAGTATTGAGTTGTATTTTTGTTATACTTATTTTCCACCCTGATTTACGGATAAATTCTTTACAAATCCTACCATGTGGATTCATGGATTTTTTTTTCACATTCTGTCTCTCACAGTTGAAGTGTACCTCTGGTGCAAATTACTGACCTCTGTCATCATTTTAGGTGGGGGAACTTGCACAATCGGTGGCTGACTAAATACTTTTTTGCCCCACTGTATATATATATTTTAGGTTATCTGCTATAAAAAGCCAGGCCAGGAAACTCTCCTTAATCTTTTTCTGTGTTTTACCCTCAGTTACTTTGACACAAAGGCATCTTCTGTGTTGCTTACATCTCTGATGAAGTCTCACAAGTGCCAGTATTGATAAATGATCAGAATTATAATATCTCTGACTGTCTGGGTCAAAATTGAATTGAATTGAATCGAATCATGGATCGAATTGAATCGGGACCTTGTGAATTGGAATCGAATCGAGTCTAGAAATCAGTGACGATACGATACTCTGTCTCTTGTTTGTTAGAGCTTCAACCTTTTGGATGGTAAGGTGAACATGGTATTCACAGAGAGATTTCTGGAAGTGGTCCTGAACCCCTGCAGTGATTTTCCACAACAGAATCCTGCCTGCTTTTAGTGCAGTGTCACATGAAGCCCGGATATTGAGATTTCTCCAGATTTTGGAATATTTTGATAATATTATATACTGAAGATGGTGGCACATTCAAACTCTTTACAATTATAGTATATTCAGTTTACTGGATGGTAAAAATTAAATCTAGGTGTGTGTCACTGCATGCACGGAGACAGACTACATATATCAGCTTTGAATTACAGAGTATTGTTATTACTGGACATAATGCATAAAATGACAATATTGTACTTCACTAACTTTAGCACCATGTTTCTGAAAATCTTCAGTTACTCACCGTTTTCTTGTTGCTGAGTCTTTTGGGTACCACGCAGCTGCCACCTTGGGTGGAAAAAAAAACACCAACCCACTCAGTATTCAATCGAATCCTCAGATAATCGATTTACAAACAGATTTGATGTGGTTATTGGGTTATTGGTAGAGAAGATGCCCTTGCACACCTGTATCAGGTTGATGACGTGGTACGGCAACCAGAACAGGCCAAACATTATGACGATAGCCAGGATAAGTTTCTCGCTGCGGATATTTCGTTGAAACCTGGTCTCCCTCAGGCGTTTCAGGATGAGAACGTAGCTGGTTATAATGATTGCATAAGGAATAATGAATCCTGCCACTGTCTGAAAGGCGTACTCAAACCTCACCTGCACATGAGAGGATATAAAGAAAAGCTGTTTCCTTAGATATTAAATGAAAAACAAAGAAATAGAGCCAAAATTATGAAACTGTTTAAACTGATCAACTTCTCTGGGGGTTTTTTGTCAAATGAGAGGACAAAATGAAACATCTGAAGACCTAAAATCAAGTAATGTTGTTATGGTCTTTGATCTGAAAAGGGGCATTCTGCAAAATAAATCATTTTACTTTATGTAGTTTTAGAATATTTTGATTCTAATTTGCCACCTTACTTAAGGAGGACTTTTACTTGTAAAGAAGGAATGTTTTACAGAAGAGCATTACTACATTTATGAAGGATCAATGCAAAATGATTTTCAGACTTTTGTGCAGTGCCACATCAGTATTTACGTTGTGGGCTCAAGGGCTTAAAAAACGTGCAGTCTGGTGTAATTTGAATTATTTTAACTACATTTTGAACACTAGTTAAGCTGCAGCTTCCAAGGCCTTAAACACAGTAACAAACACATCTGCAATATTTCTTTCCTCTCAGTTTCAGATAGTGTGTTCCCGTTAAAATAGGCAAATGTTTTAGCTGTCTAATTGTTCATGAAATCATATCTAATAAAATGTCGAGTATTATAAGAGTATTTTTTGACACGGTAGTTTTTATCAATAGTTACAGTTTAAACAGAGATATACTACATTTCAGGAGAAATAAACAAACAACCAAAATATCCTCCTTTAATCTGAGAATGTAAGGCATTTTTTCCCCAACAACATTTAACCAGTCTTTTAAAGAACCGTTTTTTCTTTTATTAATTAAGTCATGAATGAAGAATTCTGGCCCTTTTGCTCAAAGCGTGATCATGTTCAATACCTCATTCACTATTTCACTGGCTCTCACATGCAGAAGGTTTTTAGAAGGCATTTTGATAATGGAAACAAATATGGTTATGAATCTAATCAGATCAGTGGCAGACAAATAACCAACACAAGTGTACTTACATGTCTACGCAGTGTGTGATTGGGTGCACACACATATGTTGTTTGATTCATATCATCAGTTTCTTCTTTCACATCTCGAAACACCAACGAAGGAATGGAAATGGCCATCACTAGCACCCATGTGCCTAGGATCACCCTCTTCACAACCTTCCTGGTGATCAGGTGATACAGTGTGTGTGGAAAGATCACGGCCAACAGCCTGTTCACGCTCATCAGGGTTATCAGAAAGACTGATGCATACATGTTGGAGTTGCACAGGTAGAACACAATTTTGCACATGGTGTTACCAAAGACCCACGACTGCATGGCCAGGTAGATGATGAAAAAGATGGAGAGAGCCATGAGGAACCCATCAGCACATGCCAAGTTGAGGATGAGGAGGGTGGTGACTGAGCGTTGTCGGCAGCGGGCCAGGATGCTCCAGACAATGAAGAGATTTCCAGGGACACCCAGGAGGAAGACCAAGCTGAAGATGAGGGCACCAATGGCTGTGGAATAGTCATTTTTCACAGCATTTTCCTCATCAGGGTCAGGAGTAGTCTTTGGGCCAGTCAGGAATGAGACACTTATGTTGTTCATGCTAGGTGAACTTTTGAACCTGAAAGAAAAACCCATTGGTTTTCTTTGACTCTCCAATTGAAACATGAATTACTAGTCAAGAAAGAGCTTCAACATACATACTTAACAGACATATTCCCTACATGCACTTATAAAGCTTGGGTTTTCTCTAATCCACATAGAGTCAGAAGTATATGCAGATTCAAATATATATGTACACCTCCACTAATATTTGTTTAAATATCCCTTAGCAAGTTTCACCTCAACCAAGGCTTTTGCTAGCCATTAACAAGCTTCTAGTATAATTGTGGATAGCTATCTGATCATTCTTCTTGGCATAAATAGTAGAGTTAATTTAAATTGGTGGATTTTTTGGTATAGACACAACTTTTAAGCAGAGATCAAAAAAATTCAGTAGCGTTGTGGTCAGAGATTTGGGGAAACCAGTCCCATCACGCTGTGTTTTCTCCACGCTCCAAGTTCCCTGTGTTCCCAGTAGGGCTGCCACGATTAGTCGACTAGTCACGATCACGTCGACTATCAAAATCGCGACGACAAATTTAATAGTCAATGCGTCGTCTTGTAAGATCCTGAAAGACGCAGGAATAATTACAGTTGAACCCCGACTTACGAAATTAATTTGTTCCCGAGGGTCCTTCGCAGGGCTAACACAGAGAGACAGACAACCATTTGCACTCACACCTATGGGCAATGTAGACTAATCAATTAACCTATCCCCACAAACTGCATGTCTTTGGACAGTGGGAGGAAGCGGGAGTACCTGGAGGGAACCCATGCAAACACGGGGAGAACATGCAAACTCCACACAGAAAAAACACAGCCTGATGGTGGAATTGAACTCAGGACCTTCCTGCTATGCAGCAACAGTGCTAACCACCCTTCCACTGTGCTGCCTCAGTAATTAATGCTGCAATCTTAAATATGATCAACCTATCTCTAATAATTGGTACCACAGGCCTTCAAGCTGTCACTAATTAAACCATTACTTAAAAAGCCATCTCTAGCTGTCTTAGGCCTTCCTTTGATCTAAAAATGTTTTGAAAGAGTAGCTGTTGAACAGCTGACAGATCATCTGCAGAGGAATGGTTTCTTTGAAGAGTTTCACTCATCTCTGTGCCTGTTCTGCTAGACCTCAGTGCAGCGTTCGATACTGTAGACCATAATACTTTATTACAGTGATAAGAGCATGGTGTATATATATTAAAGTACTGTGCTGCAGTGGTTTGAATCATATTTATCTAATAGACTCCAAATTGTTCTTGTAAATAAAGAGTTCTCTTCACACACTAAGGTTAATTATGGAGTTCCGCAGGGTTCAGTGCTAGGACCAATTCTGTTTACATTATACACGCGTCCTTTATCCGGTATCATCAGAAAGAATCGCATACAGTTTCACTGCAATGCAGATGACACCTAACTTTCTCTTTCCATGAAGCCAGATGATACACACCAATTAGTTAAACTGCGGGAATGTCTTAAAGATATAAAGACCTGGATGACCTCTAATTTTTTGCTTCTAAATTCAGATAAAACTGAGGTGATGTACTTGGCCCTAAAAATCTTAGATCTAACCAGATTCTTAGAGCTGGATCAGGTGACCCTGAATCCTCCCTTAGTTAGGTTGCAATAGGCGTAGGATGTTGAAGGATTGTCATGATTCATGGGAAGTATTTCTTCTTCAGTCATCTTTTTCTACATCTTTTTGTACAGAAATAACTCAAAAATAAAAACAATTGTTGGCTCACACCTTACTACTGTACTGCAGCCTTTAAATTATTTACATCCAAGGCTCTAGAAAATGATTCAGCATAATCTCATAAACAGCATATTAAAAAGCACCAAACATTGATATTAACAGCAAATACTGCATCGAAGAGCATTATTTCAACAGTCTTTGGTTCATGTTGAAGTTTTTTTCCTTACTTGTGTCACTACAGTCTCTCACTGGAAGTGCAGTACAAGCAGTTGGCTTCTGAGTCAGTTTTGCACACCGTAGTAAAAGCCTTTGTGTATCTGTGCCCACTGCCACAAATAAATAAATACATAAACGTGAGTGATGGAAGTTTATGGGTTCAGAAGTTGGTCATCATACCATGACATGATGAGAAGAAGTAATTTATTTTCAGGCATTTATTTGAGAACGAAATAAACGAGATGAAAAATTATCATCCACTTTAGGAAGTCTGAAAAGTAAAGAACTGCGAAAAAGCCAATAAATGTGCATCTAAGCATTCCGATAATGTGATGGGTTTTAAAAAACATGTTATTTTGTATCAATAACTGACTTCAGAAAAATTATTTTAAGATTTTTTTAGCTTTGAAATAAATTCACTTGTCAAAAAAATTGGGTGGTCCAAAAAAACAGGTGCTAAGTGTTTTTGTTTATAATCCACTCACCTTTTCACGATGTATTTTCTCTTTGTGATATGTATATCGTTCAAATATCCGCTGCTCACCAGCCCTGACAGTGCTCCTGTGAGCTCAAACTATAACATCTCACCTCGCGGGTTGTAACATGCTGTGGTTTAAGGGAGCGCTTCAGAGAGGCGTGTCCTTCATTAAAACTCTCCCGCTCCCCTTTTCTGTCGAAACCTTTGTATTATCTCGATGTATGATTGTCCTGGGAATTTTTTTCTGTGCTAAAACAGAGTCTTCACTCTGTTATTATTTATAAAAAAGCATGCGTTCTTTAAGATAACGTGTTCCAGTGTGAGGTACCATAATGCATTTCTCTGTTTCCTGAGACGCTTTTCACCCTGAGTCAATTGTTATTAAAAGCACCCGAGGCGTATAGATAAAATTTAAAAGCTTGCATTTTAGAGAATAGGCACGCATAAGCAAAACATTCTTGTTCATACAAGTCTGTCACTGACAGGAATGCAGCTTTCCATGAAACAGGGAAGAGAGAAACTTTGGAGAAGCCCAACCCGCTCACGGACTGAGTGAATGACGTGGTTTTTTCCCCTTTTCTTTTACTTCCAGGAATTCCAGGTTATGCATGTCTACCTTTAGTGAAGCCATGTTTTTCGTAATCATCTGCTCTAAGCTGTTGAAATGGAGAAACCACATGTGCAAACCACAATCAATCAGATAACCTCAAATACAACCACTAAACAAAATAAACAAACAAACAAAAATACTCGTTTTACTTTTCAAAAAGCTGTTCAATTAACGATTTTTCTACACTGCACTTCATCTGACAACCAAAGGAGCTCAACTGAGGGTGGCTATACGTCAACATCCTGTTACTATATCAGTGTTGTCACATCTCCTGAGCTCTCACCGTCAGTATCGATGTTTCAACCGTAACCACTGTGGTGATTACATCTTTCATGTCACACAGGTCTCAAGCACCGAGTTTATCCTGCTTGTGCCGGCTTTGTGGTCTAGTTAGTGCCACCACTGAAGAAACTAGTTTGATCCTGCCTGTCTTGGCTTAAAACAGTTACATTTCCTGGTGAAATAAAGTTTTAAAAATGTGATTTGTGAGAGTGATTCTATGGATTTTTGACGTTTTTTGGATTTTGAAACATGATTTATTTACATTAGCTCAACCTAAATATCAAAAAATGGGTAAATAACACCAAAATAACCTGGACTGGAACTGGCATTCCATCATTTTGATACAAATTGTCAAAATGATGGGTAAAAGACTTTTAAGTGTTCAGGAAGACTAGAAAAGTTCCAGTCCTAAAACTCCAAAAGTCCAAGAAAGACCAAACAATTCATTATTTGGAAACATGTCAAAAATATTTGGAGTGTATATCAATTAAAGGAGGGGGCTCTGATTGTAGCCGTGCAAGGTGGTCTTAAAATAACTGAGAATGGATAAAATGTTTTATAGAAATTGAAATGGTAAATATGCTTAATAGTTTATTTTAAGAGAAAAGTGAGGAAATGGTTCAGTTTCCCAGCGTGCCATTCTTCAAGATGAAATTAGTTCATTCATTATATGTATTTGGTGTATTTAGCGGTTCCCTTATTCAGGTTTGTTTGCACCACTGAATAAAATGAAAAATAGGGGAAAAAACCTGTTTGAGTGAATCAATCCAAATTTTGATAATAACTTGAGAATTTCAACAGCAAACGCCTTGTAATTTATTTGTTTTTCTTTATTTCCGTAGTAGAAACAAGCCTCGATAGCCTCTGCCAGAAAAACTTTAGCATCAAACATTCTTGCCTGGTGAGTTTGATGCTCTAGTTTGATATTATTCTACATCAGTTTACAGTGAAAATGTGTTTATGTAAACAAAAATACTCGTTTTACTTTTCAAAAAGCTGTTCAATTAACGATTTTTCTACACTGCACTTCATCTGACAACCAAAGGAGCTCAACTGAGGGTGGCTATACGTCAACATCCTGTTACTATATCAGTGTTGTCACATCTCCTGAGCTCTCACCGTCAGTATCGATGTTTCAACCGTAACCACTGTGGTGATTACATCTTTCATGTCACACAGGTCTCAAGCACCGAGTTTATCCTGCTTGTGCCGGCTTTGTGGTCTAGTTAGTGCCACCACTGAAGAAACTAGTTTGATCCTGCCTGTCTTGGCTTAAAACAGTTACATTTCCTGGTCAAATAAAGTTTTAAAAATGTGATTTGTGAGAGTGATTCTATGGATTTTTGACGTTTTTTGGATTTTGAAACATGATTTATTTACATTAGCTCAACCTAAATATCAAAAAATGGGTAAATAACACCAAAATAACCTGGACTGGAACTGGCATTCCATCATTTTGATACAAATTGTCTAAATGATGGGTAAAAGACTTTTAAGTGTTCAGGAAGACTAGAAAAGTTCCAGTCCTAAAACTCCAAAAGTCCAAGAAAGACCAAACAATTCATTATTTGGAAACATGTCAAAAATATTTGGAGTGTATATCAATTAAAGGAGGGGGCTCTGATTGTAGCCGTGCAAGGTGGTCTTAAAATAACTGAGAATGGATAAAATGTTTTATAGAAATTGAAATGGTAAATATGCTTAATAGTTTATTTTAAGAGAAAAGTGAGGAAATGGTTCAGTTTCCCAGCGTGCCATTCTTCAAGATGAAATTAGTTCATTCATTATATGTATTTGGTGTATTTAGCGGTTCCCTTATTCAGGTTTGTTTGCACCACTGAATAAAATGAAAAATAGGGGAAAAAACCTGTTTGAGTGAATCAATCCAAATTTTGATAATAACTTGAGAATTTCAACAGCAAACGCCTTGTAATTTATTTGTTTTTCTTTATTTTCGTAGTAGAAACAAGCCTCGATAGCCTCTGCCAGAAAAACTTTAGCATCAAACATTCCTGCCTGGTGAGTTTGATGCTCTAGTTTGATATTATTCTACATCAGTTTACAGTGAAAATGTGTTTATGTAAACAAAAATCAGACAGCGGGTGAAATTTTCTCACTTTTTTTTATGTATTATTTCTCTTGGTGTCACAGGTTTAAAATCCAGTCTGATGGTAGGATACTTTGTCTTTTAAGTGTGTCATGCATTCATGTCAAGAATAAATTAAGGTAAATCTCAAAAACAGTGGACTTTTATAGTGCAGATGTATTTTAGCAAAATCTCTGTCCATGTTTAAAAGCTTTCAACATGTTTAAAACAAGCCAAATGTAATAATTCTAAGGAATTCTCACCTCATCTCAACTCTGTGTTAACGGTAATTTTTTTTTCACTCACTCTTGTCAGACTTTTCACACTTTCATCATGGGCATATGTGAGTAACCACCAGCAGCATGATGAATTAGTGTTTCCTTATACCACAACGCACTTACATCTGAACTCACGCAGGGCTCAAGTGTTGAGTTTATCCTGCTTCTGCCGGTTTTTTCTGGTCCACTTATTCCCACTACTTTTAAAGAGCTACGTTAATACTGCCTATCATGACCTATAGGACATGCTTGCAAAAGAATGTCTAAAGAGTTTTATTTTTAAGATTAAACTCTAAAAGTTGAACTTTTATTTGGGTAAGTAATTTTAAAATAAACTTGAGTGGAAAATAGCTCTACAGACCAAAATAAAAACAGATCATTTTGATTTGAATGTAAACGTGTGCAATGCTTTGAGTCGTCAGTAAAAGTGGAAAAGTGCCGTCCAAACAATTAAGTACTTGGAAATTTGTGTATAATATTTTTAGTTTGTAGTTTTAGTTGAACTAAAAGTGTAAATTAGAAAAAAAGTAAAACAAGGAAGTAATTTAGTTTCTCAGAACCATCTGTCACCCTTCAAGATGAACTCGGTGTGCTCATCCTATACAGTAAACATTTAGTGAAAGATGTGATGGTCCTTTTATTGAAGTTCATTGTCTTTCATTTACAAAATAAACTGAGGGTTTCTTTTTATTAAACATTTTAAATAAACCTGAATTTCAATTCAATTTTATTTATACACCGTCAAATCACACCAACAGTCATGTAATAATATTGTATACTTTATTGATCCCTGTGGGGAAATCACTTTTGTTTTTCTTCGCATTTGACCCATTCACTCAGTGAAGCAGTGGGCAGCCACTAAGCAGGCCCCCGGGGAGCGGTGTGCAGGGACGGTACCTTGCTCAGGGGTACCTCAGGGTAGCCGTTCAGTGGATTCGAACCACTGACCTTCTGATCATGGGGCGACCGCCCCCCTATGAGCAAGCACTTTGGCGACAGTGGGAACGAAAAACTCCCTTTTACCAGGAAGAAACCTCCATCAGAGCCAGGCTCAGGGAACTGCAGTCATCTGCCATGACTGGCTTGGGTGAGGAGAGGAAGGCAGGATGAAAGAGATGCTGTGGAAGAGAGCCAGAGATAGTAATAAATAATGATTAAATACAGAGAGGTCTACACATAGTGACTAGAAATAGTGATTGAAGGAGAACTACTTCCCCCAGCAGCCTACACCTACTGCAGTATAACTAAGAGAGAATTCGGGGTCACCTGATCCAGCCCTAACTACATGCTTTATCAAAAAGGAAACTTTTAAGCCTAATACTAAAAGTAGAGATAGTGTCTGTCTCCCAAATCTAAACGGAATCTGGTTCCACAGAAGAGGAGCCTGAAAGCTGAAGGCTCTGCCTCCCATTCTACTTTTGAATACTCTAGGAACAACAAGTAGGCCCACAGTTTGAAAGCAAAATGCTCTAATGGGATGATATGGCACTATGAGGTCATTAAGATAAGATGGGGCCTGATTATTCAAGACCTTGTATATGATTTTATGTGATGTACGTGATTCTGTGAAAATGTGTCTGTCTGGGACCAGCAGCCCCCTTAAAAGAAAGTATTATGTAAACAAATAAGAAGATTATCGACATTCACTGGATAACTTGATAATAGACTTTAACCTGTGGCAGTCTCACCAACCCTTAGCTCAACCCCAACGTCAGCCAAGAAAACTAGTGAAGACTCAGCCTCCAGTAAAAAGGAAAAAGGAGAAATAATTATTTGGGCCTCTGATGAATTTGTAAGTTTTCTCACTTACAACAAAATGAACGAAACGAAATATC